CTCATGCAAAGGTAATTTCGAGATCCTAGAGGTGTGGGAGGCGATTGAACTCGGTGGCGGGGATCAAGCGAGCGCAGGACCGGCGAGCCATGGGCGGCCTTCGCGTTCGGTTCCCCAAGAGATGTGGCGATCTTTGGGGCCAAGAAGACCGCTGGGAGACGTGGCAGGTGAAGGACATGCGCGTTGGAGCCGAAAGCGCGTGAAAGAGGCCAATGCCAAGCGTCTGCTGCAGGGGAGTTCGAGAACATCGCCTTCAAGGATGGCGAGATGGTGGACGCGTTTGCCTGCGCGATCAAGACTCTAGCGGCGAATCTGCGTACATCCGTGAGAGAACATTATTGATGCTCGTGTTGTGAAGAAGATGTTGCGGGTACTTCCTAAAAGCTATGCGCAGATCGCGATCTCCATCGAGACGCTGCTTGATCTCAAAACCCTAACCATTGAGGAGTTGGTTGGGCGTCTCAAGATGGCCGAGGATCGCCTCGGGATCGAGGTGGTCACTGACAAGACGGGAAAACTCCTCTTGACGGAGGAGGACTGGGTGGCCAGGAACCGCCATCGACTGTTACCCGAGTCCTCTTCGTCGAGTGGAGGTGAGAAGAAGGTTGGGAAGTCGAAGAATGGAGGCGGTGGTGTTCGAGGCGAACACGGTGATCGCGGTGAGAAGAAAGAGCCAGTTGTCAAACTGACATCGATGGGCACTCCGAGGAGGAAAGGGCGATGCAGGAACTGTGGCATCTATGGCCATTGGGCGGAGGACTGCAAGAGGCCCAAGAAGGAGCGCAAGGAAGAGGCTCATCACGCACAGGCGGACACCGATCACCCGTCGATCCCATCAAGCACGGTGCACGCCAGGCGTGTACATCCGTGCGGTGACGAGCAGCCCAGGGGGTGTGTGACACGCCAGGTCGTGCATCTCCATGAGAAGAAGGTCCACCCCGGCGAGAGTGATGAAGCCGGAGACGTCTGGGTCCTTGACACAGGGGCCAGCAATCATATGATGGGGCACCGCGAGGCACTCGCGTCGCTGGACACGTCTGTGCGTGGCACGGTACGGTTCGGTGATGGATCGCTCGTCGAAATCGAAGGCATTAGCTCAGTGGTGCTTCAATCCAAGGCCAAGGGGCACAAGGTACTCACCGAAGTCTACTTCATTCCTAAACTTAAAAGTAATATTGTAAGCTTGGGTCAATTAGAAGAGGGAGGCTGCAAAATTGTGATAGAAAAAGGCTTTTGCAATGTGTTTGATGTCGAGCACTCTCTGCTGGCTCGAGCACCGCGTGTGAAGAATTGCTCAGATTCATTGACAACACAAATTGCAGCTCTGTTTGTCGGACAACCAAGACAAGTGACGAGGCATGGGTGTGGCATGGCCGGTATGGTCATCTCAATTTTCGTGCACTCCGTGATCTTGGCCAGGAAGGAACGGTGGAGGGCATGCCGCTGATTGATGTGGTTGAGGAGTTTTGTGATAGCTGTGCATTAGGAAAACAACATCGGCAACCCTTTCCTGCTGTGGCAAATCATCGTGATGAAAAGCCCCTGGATTTGTTCCATGCCGATCTGTGTGGCCAAATCAGGCCAAAGACACTAGGAGGTAAAAACTATTTTCTGCTCATAGTTGATGATAATACAAGATACATGTGGATTGAGCTGCTAACAACCAAAGATGAAGCATTCAAGTGTTTCAAGCGTGTAATGGCACTAGCAGAGACAGAACAAGGTGGGAGGCTCAGGGCTTTTCGCAGTGACCGCGGTGGTGAATTCAACTCCATCGAGTTTAAAGAGTACTGCGACGAACATGGAGTTAAACACTATACCACGACGCCATATACACCACAACAAAATGGCGTTGTGGAACGGCGTAATCGCACTGTTGTGGAGATGGTGAGGTGCCTGCTGAAAAGTAAGGGTGTACCTGGAGAGTTTTGGGGAGAGGCGGTGACAACAGCGGTTTACCCTCTCAACCGTGCTCCAACAAATAGCCTCCGAGGTAAAACACCTTATGAAGCATGGTATAATCGGAAGCCCAAAGTGCATCACCAAGCGTACCTTTGGTTGCATCGCTTATGTCAAGCAGATAGGTCCCGGTGTGTCCAAGCCGTCGACAAAGTCAGTCCCGATGGTGTTGATGGGATATGAAACAGAATGAAGGGCTACAGACTTTATGATCCAGTGGCTAAGAAACCGCATATATCCGTGGATGTGATCTTTCTTTGAAAATCGAGCTTGGAAGTGGAATCAAGAAGTTGAGTCAGTCTTTGGTATTCATGTGTTTGATGTTGAACATTATACTATTGCCGATAGGGTACAAAGAATGGCAGCGGTGCGGGTTCGGACTCACGATCCATGACCGAAAGTTCAGTGAGATTCAGTTGTTGAACTTCTCTCACACCGTGCAAAGGGTCGATTGACACCGATGCAACATCACCCCAAGCAACACCTCCCGGTAGTCCTCATACACCAGAGTCGAGTATGCAACACCACCAACCGGAGATTCAATGGATTCGTAAGGGGTTCGGTTGAGGTACGTAACTTTGCAAAATATCATTGATACCTCTCAAGAAGTCCAGGACTTGAATCACAAAGGGGTTGTGTTACTTGGCTGCAGAAGAACCTAACAAAGGTTGGGGATGCTCTTCAGAGAAGTGTTGGAGAGATGCAATGGTAATCAAATGGAATCAATTCACGCTAATAGAACATGGGAGCTGGCTGATTTACCAAAGGTCATAAGGCCATCGGCTGAAGTGGGTTTTCAAGGTGAAAAAGGACCCTCGTGGAAAAATAATCAAACATAAGGCCAGACTTGTGGCAAAGGGCTATGCTCAAAGGTGAGGGGGTGGACTTTGAGGAGGTCTTCGCCTCCTGTGCTGCAATTGAGACTGTGAGATTATTGTTGGCTCTAGCAAAGAAGATGTGGTTGGAGAGTGCATCACATGGATGTCAAATCGGCATTCTTGAATGGAGATTTGGTAGAGGAGGTATATGTCCAACAACCTCCCGGCTTTGTTGTTGAAAATGGAAATGGTAAGGTACTCAAACTGAAGAAGGCTCAGATGGGTTGCGTCAAGCACCCAGAGCTTGGAATGCAAGACTTGACAAAGAGCTTTTGAAGTTGGGCTTTGTCGAGAACCCACCGGAACATGCTGTGTGTACAGCGTCTTTGAAAACAAAGGTTTCCTCCCTGTGGGTGTCTATGTAGATGATTTGATAATCACGAGGGGACAAGCCAAGAGAGCATTGATGCATTCAAGAAACAAATGATGAGCAGCTTCATGATGAGTGATCTTGGCCCTCTTGTCCTATTACTTGGGGATGGAGGTCAATCGAGAGAGAGGGGGGTGACTACACTTTGTCGAGTGCATATACTATAAAAATTCTTGAGCAAGCTGGTATGAAAGGATGCAATCCTTGTCATGTTCCTATGGAGAACAAGTCAAGCTGAGCAAGAATGATAAGTCCCCACCTGTTGATACAACGAAGTGCAGGAATATAATTGGGAGCATGAGATATTTGGTGAACACTAGACCAGATATTGCTTATTCAGTTGGTATTGTAAGTAGATACATGGAGGCACCAAAGACAAGTCACCTTTGGGCAGCAAAGAAAACAGATACTCAGTACCTAGTGGTACTGTAAGGTATGGTCTGCAGATATATGAGATCAAGCACTTCGAACCCAAGCTTCGGGATTCAAAGGACAAAGTGATCTCGCCGGTGATATAGATGATAGAAAAAAAATCTTTGGTGGCTCAAGATTCTTCTTGGGCATGAATTTGGTCACGTGGGTGTCACGAAACAAAGAGTGGTTGCTCTATCGTCATGTGAGGCCGAGTACATTGCAAGTGCAAATGCAGCCTGTCGTAGTATTTGGCTCAAGAAGGTTGTTGGGAGAACTGCTGGGCATTCAGTGCTCCAAAGGTCGGTCTCCTTGTTGATAACAAATCTGCCATAGCTTTGAGCAAGAATCCTGTTCATCATGATCGAAGCAAGCACATAGATACTAGGTATCATTTTGTCGAGAATGTGTTGAGAATGGCAGCATTGACATTGATCATGTGAGCACTCGTAACCAGGTTGGCGATATTCGACGAAGGCATTAGCAAAGGTCGATTCATAGAGTTGAGGCAGCAATGGGAGTAATTGATGTGCAGCGGGATTAGGGGGTGATTGTTAGCTGAATCCCGTGCACGTTCTCGCATTAGCATTCTTGTAATTTAGGCAATGCATGTTTCCAATTATGTAATAGCTAGCTGCATGATAGGAACGGTGTAGCACCGAAACGTGCTACGTTCACGGTCTTGTGACCAGGTCTTCCGCCACGCACGTGATGACAAACGACCCCGCCGCTTCAGCGGGCATGGCGCAGCGTCGCGCAGCGTGGCGGGATATCGGATCTAGCAATCATGTAAACACCGTATGAATAAAGAGATGAGAACAACCCGAAAGGGCCGCATAGCGCTCAGGCGGCGAAAAAACTGAAACTCTCTCGTGTGTGTGCTGTGTCGTGAGCGACGTCGTGCGAGGTGAGTGATCGCCGGCCAACGCCAATCGCCGTCGGGCATCCCACTCCGGGAGCCGGCGCCAACAGCCTCATCCTCTTCGACCTCGTCCGCCCAAGAACGACAAGAGCAAGAGCCGGGCTCCATGGCTGGGGTGGGCGGTGCCACCACGCGGTCAGCGGCGATGTGCTTGGTGGACGCCGGGGCCGGAGTAGCCACCGGCGGCGGAGCGGGGGCGAGCAGACTCTCTCTCGCACTGCACAAGTGTATTCTTTGAAACGAATTGTTCAGCCAATGTCAAATCCATGTAAAAACTGAATCATGAAACTCAAGATGAATGGGCACCAAAATGATCTGCATTATTATTCTCTCTTAGAAGAGCTTCTCGTCATCAGTCTTAGCTCCTATAAAGTGTATCCTCATGAACTAGACTGAAATTATTTCAGAACATCGGCACGACAGAGTGATTTCTCATCAGAGATTATTACAAAAGACTACCTTATGCATCCTGGTTCATCTTCTTGGGTGCAACAGCTTCAATGGCAGTGCCTAGAGGCCATGCTGCCCCAACGTAGAACTCCCCATACTTCACTCTAGACACCAAAGTAATCTCCCTCGTTGGAGCCAAACCTGTGTAAACCACATTTAATTAATTGGTTTGTTCCAAATACCTGAGTGTCAATTGTTGAGCGAATATCGACCATCCGACATGGAGATTTTCCTGATATCTAAACATGCATTTTATCTGCACTTACCAAAGCCATCTACAAGCAATGTGTACTGGTAGATGAGATCCATGCATATGTATGGCACATCATAGAGATCAGGGTACCCTGCTTTGGCTTCATCGGCGCTCAGCAAACAAACTTTCTCTGCAGCAGCTTTGAATGCCGATGGGGTGGACTTCACGCTGGGTGCCTCACTGTCAATGAAGCCAACCTGCAAAGTGAGTCATGTGAATCATTGGTTGATGCTCAAACTCCATTTTCAACATCTCTGGTAGTTGTGAAGGTTTATATATACATGATCAGGAGTTGCTAACTTATATTATATATACCTGTGAAGCCTTGTCAAAGAAGAAAGATGCAACGTAGAGATCGTCCTGGCCAGCTCCACCGCCTCCGTTCCAGACGCCGTTAAAGGTGCAGTTCTTTGCTTTACATGGTGCACTCAGGTTTAGTGCCTTTACTATGTCTTCTCTGCACTTATCATACACTGCGCCTTCAGGTGACGCCGTTGCGTCATAGTCCTTCCCATTGTAGCTGTATGTACCTTAATGAATGATATGATAGCAAAGTCTGCTAGTTACTGGAAAAACGATGAATTGATAAACAAGAAGGAGGCTGATTATGCATGTATGCCAGCATACCACTGAACCCACGCAATACGCATTGGCTAAATGGCCCATTCTTTGCCTTCAGGATCTCTACTCGAACAGCAGACATGCCGTAGTACAAGTAACTGCAGAGGTAAACAAGGAAGATTACTTGCATTGGTCACAAACCAGAGCATACATGATTAGTTCATGATTTGATACAGAAAACCTTCATCATGGTTTAATAATTATTTTACTGAATCGTCATGGTTTGACGATTATTACTGTAATGTAAAAACTGCAAACACTAAACGATGTAGTAAGCGCCATCATATACTCTTTCCAACAAAATGTAAAAGTTATTGAAAGCTAGGCTAGGTAAGTTAAAGTTTGAACATAATGTTTGCTAAACCTGTGAACATAGAGGTTATAATCTTTTCCCTTGAGGTACTCCTTTGTAATATATGGATCCTTCCCATCAGGCACAGCTGGAGCATTTGCAGCAGCACTCGTGGAAATGGCATATGCCATTTGCACTGATCCACCTCCCAAATCGATCACACCAACCGTCTTCGAGTAGTCCCTCCCAATTTACCTAGTAGATAATTCAGAGCAACCTACAACACATACATGTGCCACATGCATCATACTTTACAAGCTGAGTACACGAGATATATTACACATTTTTTCCTGACAAAAAAAACAAGGAAATTAGTAGATAACACAGAAGTTAGGAATAATGTACATACCCATAGGTAAGATCCTTCTTGAGTTCCCTCGAGAACAGTGATCCATTTGGGATTGTACTGGAATTTGCTCTTGGTGTGGACAAGATCTCGGACCTGCATTTAGAAAAAAATTAAGAAAAAAAGAAAACTTTGTATATATCTAGAATACACACAAGGCATAATTTGGTTAGTAAGATGGTAAGCTACCGCTTCAAGAATCTCCTCTGCCTTCTCGTCTCCAATTAGTCTTAGACCAGCTGTTGCCTGCAATTTTTATGGAAACACTTCAGTTCGAGACCGAACAGGACTTTCAATAGAGTGACAGGTCTATTGAAACATGGACAGCTACAAATGTATATGGAGGAGGTCCTGAGATTTTCTTTTCACTAGATGATGAACTTAGATGAAGAAAACAATTTATTACCCCAAGTTTGAGTGGAGTATTTTTCTGAAGCCTGGGAGGGACAATCTCCTTAGCCTGCTCAAGAAGGGGGAGTATAGAATTTGCAGCCTCTTGAGGTTTCCCCAAAATGAGCTCAGCCCGGGCTTTATCTGCATCATCAACAAGTCACAAACATGGACACGTAGTAATTCATCAATAATCCACTCAGTAACTTTGCTTTGCATATAAAGAGGGCAAATGAAAGAAATGTTGTTTCAAATTTATTTTCCGTCTTTCTTATTCTTATCTGTTATTGCTAAAGTGTACACCAGCATCCAAATTTGAGGACCATGTGAGGACCCCAACAGGCCACATGCTGTGTGAGCCCCTTGTATATCGGCGTTCAGCATAATAAGGATAAGGTCCACCACCAACCGGTTACAAGCTTTTACTGGGGTGTTGGCACGTTTTCGGGATGCGGCCACATACGGTCATCATGCACTGTTCGTGTTCTTCCGTTGCATTATTGTCACTTGTTTTTTTTAAAGTCAAATATTGTTCACTCTTGTTGAGTCTATATTTCCTTTCTGAAGCTGAAGTGAAGTGGTAACTACAACTGAGCACCTACATACCTTGGAGAAGAACTCGATGTCGCCGCCGACGGGGACGAGGTCGAGCTCCTTGTCGAACTTGAAGACGTGAACACGGCTGCCCGTGCTCCCAGCGTCGAAGATGACGGCGTACCTCCCCGCTGGTTGTCCCCTCGAGACCGCCTCCTCCACCGCCGGCGACTGCTCGGCGGCGGCGACGCTGCCCTTTCGCCCAAGAACGACGCTGCTGCTTCCAGAGGCAGCGGAGACGACGAGGTGGAAGACGAGAAGAAAGGCAGCAACGCTGCCGGCGAGGCGAACCATTGCCACTGCCACTGCAATGGCCAGTGGATGGAGCAACAGAAGGGAGGAGCCGTCGGCCACTCACTTGTCACTTCACTCGTGTCTGGATTATGAGCTGCAGCGTACGTTTCATGGCTTTATTCTTGATGGGGAGGAGCTTTGCAGGCTAGTACCTCATACATTTTCTTTTTCCTCAGAGCAAACTTTTTCTCAAGAGGTGGCGTAGTACTACCTACTGTGACACAAATTTCACAAGGGATGGGGTGCTAATCGAATAACTAGTGCTGCCAGTGCCCAGTGGAGACTTGGAGAGCTGTCGGTTGTTTCTGTCGTTTGTCCAATTCGAGCACGTGCACACACATATATATTCTTTATTCGAACAATACGTGCACATATATAAACCACAAGTTTTGTCTGGGGAGGTTCGCAATATATATATAGTTTCAAAGAGAGGTTCGCATTATATAAGTTTCACTCACATATATAAACTCGTGCTGGTTTAAGTCGTGTTGGCACGATTCCACTTTATCAGTGAAGCTATTCTTCTTCTTTTTCTTTTTTGCTTCAGCTCAGCTCTATAATTAGAGTTGTTTTGATAAATTGTTGACAAAACAGCTCAATATATGGAACTCATTAAAATATGCTCACACAGAATCCCGCACTGGATCCACCAGAGCAAGGTGGAGCGGGGTAAATCTACCATTTTTAGCTCCCACCTTATACCAATCCTTTGTGAGAGCAAATTTTAAAAGACTCCTTAAGTGGAACTGTTTTGTTTTACCCTATTTGACACAAACTAGCTCCAAACAGCTCTATGAGCTAATGGTGGAGCTATGTCAAACGGGACCTCATTGTAGTAACTCTCGTTTTGGTGGACACTTAACACACAATCCAACTTCTGATCACAAAGACATGAACCTTATAATCTCAACACTGCATCTTTTATAGTTACCAACAGTGCGGCTGCTCGATTAACCGCTATACAAAGGCTAATCCAAGAACACAAGTAAGAATAAGAAAAAAGTCATGATTTTTCATTTCTTCAAGGCAACATATCAGGTGCAAACCAAGTAACTTGTGAAAACTTAGAAACTACCGATTATGGACACAGGATGTCAATCCAATGGATGGGGTGAGAGGCGGTATGATTTTGCCCTTAAGCTCACCACCTGCCGGCTTTTTTTTCAAAAAAAATCCCCTGCCCCCTCCTGTGCAAATTCACCGTCAGAGGCCTGCGCCGCACCCAGGTGATTCGCATCTCGTCGCCCCAGCCCTACGCCGCCAGAGACCTGCGCCGCCCCAGATCCGGGAGTTAAAAGGGTGTGTTTAGTTCGCTAAATTTAGAAATTTAGCTACCGTACCATTTTCGTTTTCATTTGGTAATTAGTGTTCAATCATGAATTAATTAGGCTCAAAACGTTCGTCTCGCGATTTCTAACAAAACTGTGCAATTAGTTTTTTCCGTCTATATTTAATGTTCCATGTACGTATCGTAAGATTCGATATGATGGCTACTGTAGAACTTTTTGGGAACTTTTTAGGAACTTAAACACGTACCAGTCCGCGCGTGTTCCAGGCTGACAGAGATGACAGAGACGACTGACAGGCTGATAGCTACGCCCCCAGGTCCGGGAGTTAAGGTTTAGTACCAAAAAAATTTGTCAAATTTTTTAATTCCCCGTCACATCAAATCTTCGAACGCATGAAGCATTAAATATAAATAAAAAATAAAACTAATTACATAGTTTAGACGAAATTCACGAGATGAATTTTTTAAGCCTAATTAGGCTATGATTAGATATTAATTACTAAATAACAACGAAAAGTGCTCGGTGCATTTTGTAAACATTTTCGTCGTCTAAACAGCCCTAAAATAGTCCGCGCGTGTTCCAGGCTGACAGAGATGACAGAGACGACTGACAGGCCGATAGCTACTCCTACAGCCTACAGGGATCCGGCCGGCATCCAGGACAAAGTGCTGCCTGCCTGCCTGCCAAAAGGCCTGGCCGTCGTCAGTGCAGGATCAAGCTCACAGTATATAAAAGAGGTGATGCCCGGTGCGTGTTTAGTTCATGAAATTTGGGAATTTGGCTACGGTGATACTTTTGTTTTTATTTGACAATTAATATTTAATTATAGACTAATTAGGTTTAAAACATTCGTCTCGTGATTTCCAACCAAATTATACAATTAGTTTTTTTTCTATCTATATTTAATGCTTCATATACATATCGTAAGATTCGATGTGATGGCTACTGTAGCACTTTTTGAAAACTTTTTGGAAACTAAAACGCAGCCCCAATTGCCCACGCCCTGCGTGGAACACGCGCGGACTATTTTAGCCGCCGCCGGTAGCAGGTCTCTGGCGGCGTACTCCCTCCGTATAGGATTTAGAAGCCGTTTAGGACATAATTGTGCTTATCAAGGAGTCATTAATTAGAAGGTATTCTTCTATGTTTACCCTTATTAAATAGGACTACGGGTATCCTCAAGACAACAATCATACGTAGCTCGATTGGTCGAGCAACCAGCTCGAGGCCTGTGGCGGTGGTTCGAATCCTTGGTGACGCATTTTTTGGGTTCTTTGGAGTATTAGCGTCCGGAGGCTCTTTGGAGTATTAGCGAGGCAACGACTTAATGATGCACGCCAATGGTCGAAGCGGCGAAGCAAAGCAGTTAACTCACGCCCGCGCACCCCGGCGACTTCCTTTGCTACGCGTGACTATCTTCCCAGAACGACTTCTAAATCCTATACGGAGGGAGTATTTTTTAACTCCCGGACCTGGGGTGGCGCAGGTCTCTGGCGGCGTAGGGCTGGGGCGACCAGATGTGAATCACCTGGGTGCGGCGCAGGCCTCTGACGGTGAATTTGCACAGGAGGGGGGCAGGGGATTTTTTTTGAAAAAAAAAGCGGCAGACGGGGAGCTTAAGCGCAAAATCGTGTCGCCTCTCACCCCATCTATTGGATTGACATCCTGTGTCCCTAATCGGTAGTTTCTAAATTTTCACAAGTTGCTTAGTTTGCACCTGATATGTTGCCTTTCTTCAATGGGTCATGATTGATGCCCATAAGGATGGTCGTCATAGATAAATAAAAGGTATGGACAAGAGAGTTAATGTATTTGAGAACATATCAAACAATTGGCCTTTTGGATTTCACTGAAATGATGAAGCCAACAAATAAACTCCATGACACAAGATACCAGAAAGGCATGTTACCATATATGTAGCCACCATCTCCCATTTCCATGAATTGCTCTTATATCTTTATGAAATCATGTCTGGCTTGAAAATCAATTTTAGTAAAAGCAAGGTGGTTGTGATTAATGATTATAACAACTGGGATCATCAATATGTTAATCTAGTTAACTGTCAAGTTGGCATCTTCTTTTTGAAATATCTCGGAGTGCCTATGAGCCCAAGTTGACTACACATCATTGATTGGCTCCCACTTAAAGAGAAAACTGCAAAAAAAAAAGGCTAGAGCAGAGGCGGCCACGGACGGACATAGGTAGCCAAGTAGGGTTGGTGCCTGGTGGTGAAGGGCCGATCGAGCGTGGGCGGCAGCGTATGCCATAGTGAAGAAGCCAAGCTCGAGGAAGAAACAACTCCTGGTTTCTTTAGTAGTTAGATAGCAAGCCCAAGCGCGTGTTTAGTTGGGTGAATTTGGGAATTTGGGCTACTGTAGCACTTTCGTTTTTATTTGGCAATTAGTGTTCAATCATGGACTAATTAGGTTCAAAACGTTCGTCTCGTAATTTCCAATCAAACTGTGCAATTAGTTTTTTTTCATCTACATCTAATGCTCCATGCACGTATCGCAAGATTCGATGTTGTAAGGAAAATGGACCCTTGGCCCATTTACTTTGGATTTTGGTGTTTGATGACCAACAAAACCAAATTAGACTAATGAATTTGCAAATGTTTGTTTTGTAGTCCAATAGGGTGCAAGACGTGACTTGGACGAAGGCGACGTGATGATCCGATGA